GTAACCCAAATTTAATATTTTGTTTCTTTGGTTTGAACATTGAGTTTTTGATATCGGAGTACGAGAATCGGCGTTATCTTTTTGTTTAATGTGGTTTGAGCATAAATGTATCGATTTTTATCTTTCTTAAGGAATTATATTACTCATAAACGTATGTGGGAGTCGGATCTGCACAGTTAAATTTGTCAATGGTGTTTGGGGATTAGAGATTTCTATGTAGCGGACTCACTTAGAACGAATACTGAAAATAAGAATTCTTTATTGCTGTTTCTGTTAAGCTGTGATTACAAGAGAATTTCTCTGCGAAATTTTTTGACCCACTTTTTGGGTGAAATACAATGAGATATATATAGTGTTAAGTAAGTGGGCCAACTAATAAAATAGAATTGGCCCATTAAACAATATATATAATTTATGCCAATTATTTTATTAAGTCCGTTTTGATTATGGGTATAATGTCATTTTGGGCCTAGATTCAAACTGGGCCCTTGTAGACTTGATCTCGTCGCTATATCGATCTCATAGGGGAGAATTCCAACCCCTACAGTTAGCCCCCCAGCTTAGTAGTATCGAGTTATGATGATGCCGAGGTAAAAGTTGCTGAAGTCTGAGATCGATATGTTGGACTGAGAAGTCGCCAGGCGTGGATGTCTTGTCACCGAAATCGAAAAGTTTCTGTTATTCTGCGTTGAGGCGATGTCAGCGTGTTTTTCTCGAGTTGTTAGGTTTGACTGCGAAGTTGCCAGGCGTGGACGTCTTGTCGTCGAACTCGGAAGTTTACGTTATTCCACATTGAGCCGAAATCAGCGTGTTTTCCTGGACTTGTTTTCTTTTTCTTTCACTTGGAGGATTGATGGAGTTGATGGTCTTGTTGCGTTAGTGGACCTTGAGATCCGGTGGAAAATTTCTGGAATTTTTCCAAAAACTAAGTGATTTTAGAAAATTCTCCAAGTATAAATAAGTATGTTGCCTTGGTGTTATTTTCTACCAGTTCGCTTTTTCCTTAAGAAAGATAAAAAATCTTCTCCACCTTTTGCCACTTTATTTTATTATTATTTTTTGTTGAAGGGTTTTCGTTTTTTTTTTTGATAGCTTGTAGCCGCCGCCTCCCTTCAACGGTTGCCACCGGCGCCGACTTCACCCTCGCCTCACCATCATCGGGCTCGTCATCTTCTGGCTCCTCGTATCGGCATGGCTCCATCCATCGAATCGGTTCGTGATGACGATCAAGATGAACGAGACTTGGTTCGTGGTTCGTGACGACGATCGAGTTTTTTAGCGAATAAAACGAGAACTTGGTTGGCGACGAGGTCTTCACACAGCAAGTTTGACTTATTCCGGCGAGGTCTCGCGACTGTTCGAGTGGGGTTGACAAGATAGCAACTCGACAACGGTCGTGAGGAGATGGTCGTGAGGAGAGATCTGATCGAGACGAGAGGAGACGTCATTGGCTCTTGTTGGAGAGGAGCAGCGGCGTGCGGTTGTCTTCCCAGTGAGGCGGCGACGTCTTTGCAACAAGGTCTTCGCGTGGTGGGGAGATCTCCGCCGTTGATGGTTCGTGACGTTTCGAAGTGAAGATTCTGAGCTTTTTGGTTTCGTCTCCACCCGAGGTGGTGCAAGGCTGTGCGACGGTGAGGTGGCGTGACACGGCGAGACGATGTAACAAGGAGAAAAAAGTTGGTTCGACCTCGCGAGTTGACTCACCGAGTTGAATCGGTAACTGAGTCAACTAGGTCACTGAGTCAGCTCGGCCACCACACATTTTTTTTTTACTCAACGACAGAGTGGCTCGACGGCTTCATGACTCAGTGACTGAGTGGCTCGACGGCTTGCTTACTTGGTAACAAAGCTAGCTTCGTGGGGCGACACTGACTCGGATTGTTGCTCTTCGGTGCAGCGGAGATGCGAATCGAGTTACTTGTTCGCTGCTTTAGAGTTATTTCGTTGAGTTCGTCAAAAGAGATGTTAGACAATGCGAGAAAACCGTCTGCTCGTGAGAGGAGAGCTGCTGAAGCCATGACAGAGTCTAACGCGAGAGTGTCTCAGCAAGCTAGACTGTTGACGTCAGTTCCCAGAGCTGTTACTACTAGAACCCTTGTACCTAGGCTGCGTTGCCCTGAGTTAGAGCGAAATATTGTCGTCATCACCGATCGTCGATCTAAGTCATCGCATAGACGTCATGATGATGTCAGAAGAAGAGATGATGGCGTGGACGCGAGTCGCAAACGTTCCCGAGAAGATAAAGACAAAGATATTGCTGACGTTGAGGACTCGAGCAGATCGAGGCGCATTGCGATTCCTCGATGGGATCATGTGGCAACGGATTCATCCTTTCCTTCCGGTTCGAAGGGATCATTTGGCAGTGCTGCGTAGGCGGCGTCGCATCACTGTCGTTTTCCCAGGCACTGAGTTTCCCCCTCCAAGAGAAATGTTGAGGAAGGATCTTATTCAAACATGGCCCTTCACTGTATGACGGTACGACTCCTAGGCAAATTCTATATGACAATGATTTATATTTTTCCATCTTTCACTTGGCAGTTCCTTTCTTCGCTTAACGAACTCGCCATCGACTACGAGGTGACTACCCGCTCACTGTCTCATCAGCTGGCTAACGTTCAGAAGGCTTGTGATGACTTTAAGAAACAAAAAAGGAGCGTCGAAGACCACGTCGCTAATCTCGGAGCTACCACGAAGGAAATCGAGGATAAGTATCGCGAAATGGATGAGACGTTTACAGAGTCAGAAGCTGAGAAGAAGCGCCTGAAGAAGGAAGTTGTTGACCTTACCAACCGCCTACACATTACCGCCAAGCTTCAAGAAGTGGTTGTGCAGTGGGCTGTTGAAGAAGCGAAGCTTGACCTGGCAGCGAGGTACGAGACGAAGATCGATCGCGCTACAGAGAAAATCAAAATGATCAACGGCCAGTCGAGGTTTGACATAATTGATCTTGCCGTAGTCCAGAGTAACATTGAGTTCATAAAATTGCTTCAGAGTGACAAGGCGCCAGATCTTGGTGAAGAGCTCGTTGATCTTAATAAGCAAGAAGCGGGCCTATCACTTGCAGATAAGACATTTGCTAAGCATGTACGTGAACTTGAAGGGATCCTTAAGGATTCGTTTGTTAGTACGACTGAAGATCGAGTTGAGGAATTGGATGCAAATACCGATGAGTCGGGTGCTGACTCGGGTTCAAGTTCTTCTGATTCGTCAAGCGATGAGGATTTGTCAAACTCAGCGGCCGAAGTTCGTTTTGAGGAAGCCGTTAAGATTGTCGACGACGTTGAGTATACCGCGTCTTAGTTTTTCGTTGTTTTAGCATTTCATCATACTTTTGATTTCTAACTTAGCACTTGATTCAGCTTGGATGGTGTTTATCCCTTTGTTTGGATGTGTCATTGTTTTTTGAGATAGAATTTATGAACGCAGCTTTTATGATTCTCGTTCTTGTCTTTCGGATGGACCGTTTTGCTGCTAAGTTTTTAGTCTGTGACGCTGATTTGACAAGCTAATGACTTGTTTATATTTACTGACTTTCACGCCGTCTATGGTTTGCTGGCCAGTCATCATGGATAGCAAGCTGTTATTGATGGATCTACTCGCGAAGATTGGCTACATTATTGTTGGGACCAGCGATAAGATAGCTAGGTTTTATGATGATCATTTCAGTTTATGGGCTAGTCCGGGTTGATGCATCCGCTCTGAAAACGGCCTCGTTATTGCATAATGACCAACAATTAAGTTGTTGGGTTTTCTGATGAACTTCTTAGTTTATGTGCGAACCTCCATCCACGCTCCGAGAATGAGCACATTATTACGTAATGACCAACGATTAAGTTGTTGGGTTTTCTGATGAACTTCTTGGTTTACAGGCGAACCTCCATCGACGCTCCGCTCCGAGAATGAAGACGTTATTGCGTACTGACCAACGATTAAGTTGTTGGGTTTTCTGATGAACTTCTTGGTTTACGGGCGAACCTCTATCGATGCGCCCGCTCCAAGAATGAACATGTTATTGTGTAAACACCAACGATCTATTTGTTGGGTTTTCTGATGAATTTCTTGGTTTATGGGCGAGCCTCTATCGATGCGCCCGCTCCAAAAATGAATACGTTATTGTGAAAAGATCAACGATCTGTTTGTTGGGTTTTCTGATGATCATTTCGATTTACGACCATGTATTACATCGACACGGCTGTCCTATAATGAACACGTTATCGCGTAGAGACCAACAATTTTTTTGTTAGGTTTTCTGAATGAACATTTCGGTTTATAGACGTATATAACAACGACACGGCTGCTCTTATAATGAATATTTTGCGATGATACCAGCAAGGTTTGCTAGGTTCTAAAGTAATCACTTCGGTTTACGATCATGTATTACAACGACACGACCGCTCCTATAGTGATTACCAATTTATATAGCGCGCTTAACCCGTGGTGGGTGTAGAAATCAGATCTGGATGATGAAATAAGTTCATCGTTGTGGCCAGCAGCGACGGTGATAGAATCTGATTAAGTTAAAACTTAAATAATCCGTGATGGACGTAAATGAGATGCAAACAAGAAGTAAGCAATCCTTATCTTTATTAATCGTAACATTTGTTTCAG